CATGCCCCGACCAGGCACTGAGGCCACAACCTAGCCATGTGCCCTGACTGGGAATCGAACCCATGACCTTTTGGTTTACGGGATGCTGCCTGACCAACTGAGCCACATTGGCCAGGGCTCCAACATGTTTTGTTTTGTTTTTAAGGTTCATTGAAGACTGTTGAGGTTTTAAGAATACATATAAATTTGTTCTTTTCAAATTGTTTTAGCTTTACTGAAAAATTGCAAAAACAGCAGAGAGTTCTTATATCCCCAGTTTTCCCCAGTGTTAACATTTTACATCGTAAACCAAGACACCAGCATGGCGCCTTTACTATCAGCTGCCTCCAGAATTCACTCTGAGGTCCTTTGTTTTCCCCTAACGCTGTTCTCCAGGATCCCGTCCTGAGCGCCACCACATAGCCAGCTCATCCTGGCTGTGGCGGTTTCTAGACTTCCCTACCTTTGATGCCCTTAACGGTTTTGAGTGGTCCCTGTCGGGTGTTTCGGAGACTGTGCCCCACTTGGGATTTAGCTGTTGTTTTTCCCATGACTACACAAGGGCTAGGGGTTTTGGCAGGAAGACCACAGAGGTCCTGTGCCCTTCTCATCCAATCACATCCAAAGTACCGGCTCTCACCCTGGCCGGTGTGGCTCAGCGGGTCAGGTCACCAGTTCGATCCCCGGTCAGGGCCCATGCCTGGGTTACACGTTCAGTCCCTGGTTGGGGTGCTTGCGAGAGGCAACCGATTGAGGTTTCTCTCCCTGTCTTTCTCCCTCCCTTCCCCTCTCTCTAAAAATAAATAAATGAAATCTTATCAGAAAGAAAAACTACCTGCTCTCAACATGACTGATTCCAGTTGGTGTTAACCTGGGCCACTTGGCTGAGGACACAGCACTTTGGGCAACAAAACTGACTGGCTTGTGCCCTAGTATGCATATTCTGTGTATTCTGTGTGTGTGTGTGTGTGTGTGTATGTGTTTCTATGTAGCAGCTCACCCTACTCTCACAGCCCTGGGGGGCAGGCGCTACTTTGAATCCCATTTTACAGAGAAGGAGGCTGAGGCACAGGGTGGTTGAAGTGACTGCCCAAGGTCACACGTCAGTTAAGTGTCAGAGGTGGGATTTGAACCTCTGGCTCAGCTTCCAAAGTCCAGGCTCCCTGTGGTCACCTGTTTATTATCAACTGCACTCATATCCGAGAAGACGATTACACTTTGGTGCATTATAAAAGGTGCCTTCAAATGTACATCTCATTAAAATGGGGGAGGATGAGTTTAAAATACCATTCTGTTTATCAGAGGTCATCATTGATGATAAAACCTAAAATCTATATTTGAATAGTTTCTTGTTTTTCTTTTCTTTTTTAATCTTTATGATTTATATTTTTCCCATTACCAGTTAGTCTCCTTATGCTCCCCTACCTCTAGCATGGAATAATTTCTTAAAAAAAAAAAGATTTTATTATTTTTAGAGAGAGGGGAAGGGAGGGAGAAAGAGAGGGAGAGAAACATCAAAGTGTGGTTGTCTCTGATGTGCCCCTAACTAGGGACCTGACCCACAAACCAGGCATGTGCCCTGACTGGGAATCAAACCCATGACCCTGTGGTTCTCAGGCCTGCACTCAGTCCACTGAGCCACACCAACCAGGACACATGGAATAATTTCTTGATCATTAAAAGTTTCAGCCAACTTTTTTGCCAGTTCTGGTGCAAATTTCACAGACTGTGCATTGTAAAGTGGTTTAGAAAAGAGCCTGTCATGGGAATAAAGCCATTTATTTTCTGCTTATGTTAACTTAATTTTTTTTGAGGCAACATTCACATTACATAAAAATAACCATTTTTCAAGTGTGCAATTTAGTGGCTTTTAGTGCATTCACGATGTCCTGTCTAGTTTCCTCTGTACCTAGATGTCCAGGCCATTTCCATCACCCAAAAGGCAACCCCACAACCTTAGGCAATCGCTCCCCAGTTCTTTTTTTTTTTTTTAAGATTTTATACATTTTTAGACAGAAGACAAGGGAGGAAGAAAGAGGGAGAGATAACATCAATGTGTGGTTGCCTCCCACGCGCCCTCCACCAGGGACCCAGTCCAAAACCCAGGCATGTGTCCTGACTGGGAATCGAACCTGCGACCCTTTGGTTCGCAGGCCAGTGCTCAATTCACTGAGCCAAACCATCCAGGTCCTCCTCCTCATTTCTAATCTGCTTCCTCTCTTTATAAACTTACCTTTTCTGGACGTTCCACATAAATGGAATCCTATGATACATGACCTTTTGCGTCTGTACAATTATTATCTTTAATTGCTTGGTTTCTTTGTAAGCACTTTTTTATGCCCTCTGTCTTTTTTTGTGAGGATTTAGTTAAAAGTCAATAATATAATCTCAAAGTGTCGCAGGTTCGATTCCCAGTCAGGGTACATGCCTGGGTTGCAGGCCATGACCCCCAGCAACCGCACATTGATGTTCCTCTCTCTTTCTCCCTCCCTTCCCTCTCTAAAAATGAATAAATAAAATCTTAAAAAAAAAAAGAATGTGTAAGGTTCCCATTAAAAAAAACAACAAATAAACAAACAAACAAAAAAAGTTGATAATATAATCTGTACCAGTCCACTTACTTGGATGAAAAAGTGGGACTGGACCATTAGGCAGAGGGACACCACGGTCCCCGTCGAAGGCAGCTCGCTTCCTTGGCTGTCAGTCACCTTTGGCGGCTTCGGTGCATGTACTGATTACCTGTCCAGCGGAACCTGCTCTATTTCTAAAATCAGGGAATGAGTAGCAATTGGTGTTCTACCCATGGAATAGAACAGAGAGCCCAGGACAGGGGCCAGGCACACATGGACGTGTGGTGTGGGGCCGAAGTGGCTGCCGGCCAGATCAGGGGTGGGGGGCGGGGAGTAACTCCTATGAAAAGAGATGAAATTGGATCCCTACCTCACAGCAGATCCCCAGAGAGTTTAAGGGTTCAAAGTCAAATATAAACTTGGAAACTCTGTTTAGACTTTGGGGTCAGGAGAGACTCTGAGACAAGGTACTAGATTCTGAGACAGGACTTAGAGGCTTGGCACATGTCTGGGGAGATGGCCCTGTAGCTATTTCTCCTCCTCCCAGCGGCCCCCTCCCCTGCTCTGCCCTGGTTTGCTGGGGGGGGGGCCCGGGGGGTTTCGGGGGAGTAGACATTCCCTCTTTTAATAAGGCAATCAGCGACTTTGGGACCATCAGAGTACCTTACTGAGAAACTGCTTTCCCTGAGGAAGGTGCTAGATCGAACGAGAGCTTATGTAAAGGGGCGTCACCCTTTACATCTTGCCTGGCTGCCTGGTTGTAGCTGCTCTGCCCTCCCACCTGTCCCAAGTCCTGGAGGGTCCTTGGACTCTCCCTTGCACCCCTAGCCAGTAGACCAGGAGCCCCGTTGTTCCACCATTGCATCTGGAATCCAGCCGCTTTTCACCTCCCCCCTTGTCACCACCGCCGCCTCCCTGGGTTCCTTGCTCCTCTTCTTGCCTCCTGCAGTGTTCTCCACTCAGCCTCTGGAGGGATCCTGCAAAAACCCACATCAGACCCCCTGTGGCTCTGGATGCAGAATGAAGCTCAGGTCCTCGCCATGGCCCCCTAGGCCTCCTCCAGCCCTCTTTACCTCCTTGCTGTTGTTCAAGCACCTGCAGCATGCTTCTGCCCCTGGATCTTTGCATGTGCTGTTCCTTCTGCTGGGCATGCCCTACCCCATATGCTCCTTTCCTTCCCTTCTGCGAATCTGCTCAAACTCACCTTCACGAGGTGGTCCTCGTCACTTTAGCTAAAAATGCTCCTGGTCCTGCCTGCCCCTCCCATTCCACCTGTCATACTCACCATCATCTGCTCTGAAGTGTGCTGTCTGTCAAGGTCTGACTCCGCCCCTAGAACATGACCCCCAGGAGGGCAGGGACGTCTGTTGCCCTTCCCCCTATCTCCCCAGCACCTCTGGGTAGCGTTTGGCTTTTGTTGTGGGGCAATAGGTGGTCCGTGCAGAGTCCTGTGAAGGGTTCGCACAGCCTGTAATAAAATGGGTTGCTTTGGCCACCTAGTGGGACTCTTAGAAGGGACTGGAGAGGAAGCAGGAGGCCAGGAAGCGGCTGCCCCACAGCTGTCCACACAGGGAGCACAGAGCAGGCTGGCTGGACAGAGCTGCTTGCAAGACTACTTGGGGGGGTGGTGAGGAAACGGAGGAGGTGCCTTGTCCTGGAGCCGGCCGGAGTTAGCTGGGTCCCGGAGGGGGCCCTGCTCCGTGAGACTGCAGAGCTCTGGCGGACTCGGGGCCAGCCCAGGTGGGAATGTTGAGCCACAACAGACCGGCATCTTTAGGTGAATCGGGCAGATATCAGATGCTTGCGGAATTTGGGAAGAGGCGTTTCCACAGTAGTAGGGTGGGAGGACGGAAGGGTGTCTCAAGTCCAGCAGCTTCCCAGGGTTCTCGTGGGCATGGCAAAGGAGGCAGTGGGGTGTCTGGGGAAGCAGCCCAGGCTTCAGTGTCCGGGAAACCCCGGTTCCAATCCCAGCACTTCCTTTTATCCCTGAGTAGCTTTTTAGTTTGTCTGCATTTGGCTGCAAGTAACACTTACGTGACCAGTGATGACTCAAATAAAACTTTGCAGATTTTTTAACTTACTTTTTAAAGTGGTTAGAACATTCACACGGCGAAAAAGTGAAAAATTATTTTGAAAAATATGCAGCGAAATGTTTCCCTCCTGCCTTTGTTCCCATCTCCGAGGTCCCTGTCCTAGTAAGCTGTGTTTAGTGCCATATAGATTCTTCTCAGCATTCTTTAGACATAAAGGCACTTAGAATAAGTATTCTTGTATCTCTTTCCTGCTCTTTTTAAGCAGATGGTAATGTTTTATACAGACTGTTCTTCATTGTTTTCATGAAGCAAAGAGTCTTGGAGAGCTTTTCCTATCAGTATGTATATAAAGAACATCCTCATTTTTAAAAAAGATTTTATTTATTTATTTTTAGAGAAGGGAAGGGAGGGAGGGGGAAAGAGAGAGAGAGAAACACCAATGTGTAGCTGCCTCTTGTGCGCCCCCTACTGGGGACCTGGCCTACAACCCAGGCACCTGCCTTGATTGGGAATTGAACTGGGGACGTTCGACATACAGCGAAACCAGTTCACCACAGGCTCATAGCTATAAACAGGTTCCGTTCCCGTGGCATCTCATCCGTGTGGTAATGGAGCAGGGCTCTTCGAGGACCTGCCTTGCTTACACCAGCATCGGCACAACCACATGGGTGGTGTGTTGCCCTGCAGTGGGACAGTGGCCACAACGTCCCATCAAATTCCTGCTCCCCGCAACCCCTGGCAACCACCAGCTTGCCTTCCGTCTCCATGGATTTGTCTATTCTGGACACTTAATAACACGGAACCCTGCAGTACAGGGTCCGTTGTGTCCGCCTTCTTTGTCAAGGCATCACGTGTCCAGGGTCCGCCCCATGATCCCTCAGCACAGCACTGGTCTGTACCGCCGAAGAACGACCCTGCTGCTCTGACGTGCCACACCCACTGATGGACGTTTGGGTTACTCGGACCTCTTGGCAATTATGAATGTGTGGCTATGTGAATTTGTGCATGAATTTTGGTGTGAATGTTTTAATTTCTTGTGGGTGTCTCTGCAGGAGTGAAATGGCTGGGTCACACGGTAGCTCTGTGTTGACTGAGGAACGGCCCAGACTTGTCCACAGCAGCTGCGCCCTGTTATGTTCCCACCAAGAGCGTAGGAGGGTCCTGGTTGCCCCGCAACCTCGGCAGCACGTGCTGGTGTGTGTGGGGTCTCACTGTGGTTGGGATGCATTTCCCCATGGCTGGCGATGTTGAGCATCTCTTCACACACTGCTTGGCTGTTTGTATGCCACAGTCTTTTTCACGGCTGCGTAGTATTCCCCGGTTGACAGGCTGTCATTTATTTAACCTGTTTTCTACTGGTGGCCAGTGGGTCATTCCCAGAATCTTGCTGTTAAAACACATCACTGTAAAACCTTCCGAGCCTGTGAGTCTGGGTGTGCCAGGCTGCATCTGTATGATACATTCCTGTAAGGGAAATCACCGAGGAAAGGGTGAATGCATTATCATCTGGATGGACATAGCCCTAGACAGCTGATTTTTACTATTGGCATGGGCCCGTTTTGTGAATCCACCTACCTGCTAAAAGTTCTTTGTAATCCCCCAATCGCGATGCCATCCTGGCCACTTGCTGGAGTCCCCCTGAGCCTGCCCCCGCCGGCCGAGGTCAGAGGTGGTGCCGGGCCTTCTCCTTCCAGCTCCCACGCTGGGAACAAGGACCTTTGTCTCGGTTTATTGAGGGCCATGTTTTCACACTTTTATGGAGAGTTTTTTTGGTGGTGACTTAGCTGTTTGAAATGCTTCTCAAGTGCAATGCTGAAGTGCTGGCTGGCCTGCCTTCGCTCAGGAAGGCTCTGATGTGCCTCATGGAGAAAGTATGTATGTTCCAGAAGCTTCCTTCAGGTGTAAGTCAGCGCTGTTGGCTGTGAGCTCAGTGCGAACGGATCAGCAATTTATATTAAATAGCGTGTCTTTAAACAGAAACACACATAAAACACGGTGATGTATCGATCGGTTGATGAAAATGTGACCAGAGGCTCCCAGGAACCTGTGTTTCTCCCTGGAGATCAATACAGCTCATTAGTCCCTCAGTCAGAGTTCGTGGAAATCACCTAACTTAACTGCTGCAAATAACAAGAATTGATTCATCCAGGCTTTCTTTTTTCTTGCACACTAGCTGTGCTTTACTGGGATATTATAGAATTATGTCCAACAAAATGCGTGGATATTAAGTGCACAGCTCAATGAGTTTGACACACAGTTCCTGTGTAACAGTCATGCAGATCTAGATGCAGAACATTTCCTTCAGCTCTTGCCTGCTATGGCTCAGTGGGTTGGGCACTGTCCTACATACCAAAAGGTCGCTGGTTCGATTCCCCATCAGGGCACGTGCCTGGGTTGTGGGGCCAGGTCCCAGCTTGGGGGTAAGCAAGAGGCGACTGATGGATGTTTCTCTTGCACATCGATGTTTCTCTCCCTCTTTCTCCCTCCTTTCCCCTCTCTCTAAAATAAACAAATAAAATCTTGGATCCATCATCCCAGAAGACTCCTTTGCGGACCTTCCTAGTCAGTACAGGTTCCCTGCTCCTCCCCTCCTCCCACCCCTTAGGCAAGGATACCTCTGATTTTTTTCTGTCAGTTGCACTAGCCCTCTACTTAAAGGAGACCACACTGTGGGTAGTCTCAGGGCTGGTTTCTGTTGCTCAGCATGATTCATTTCAGATTCACCATGCCTATTACATGTATCAGCAGTGTATTCTTGTTTAGTGTTAAGCTGTGCTCCATTGTGTGGATAGAAAACACAGTTTGTTTATCCACCTACCTGTCAATGGACACCTGGGCTGTTTCCAGTCAGGGCTGTTGTGAACGAGGCTGCCACGGAAATGTTTGTACAAATGTTTTTGTGGACATACTTTTCACTTTGGTTAAGTAAATACTGTGGAGTGGAATAGCTGGGTCATGGAGTTAGGTGTGTGTTTAATCCAGGCTTTTAATTCTCTACTGGAATGAGACTTTCTAGCAGGAGGCCATTCCTGGGATGGCTGGCAGCTTGGTGTTGCCGGGCCACTAGGTCTGTCTCTTATGCTCTTGACCTTCCCCTCACCAGCACAAAATCACTGCCCTAGCACCGGCCGTTGTCATCAGGCTTCACATCTGTCTTTCAAGCAGAAAGAGGGAGCAAGGACGAATAATCTTCCTGAATTAAGGCTCTGTCTTTTTGCCCAGATGTAAAAATCTTTCCCATGTCCACACTTGGCTGCAAAGGAGGCTAAGAAAGAACGTTTCTGGCAAAGGCGCAAAGGTCTACACCCATGATTCATCCTCTGGGGAATGTATGTTGACGAATGAAGCAAGTCCAAGTTCTGTTTATTAGGACATCAGTCTGGGAATGACTGTTGGACCCTCCTGGGCCTTGGAGGTGACCCTCTGGGGCCACTCGGTCAGGGGCCTGGACACTGGTTGGGAACTGGTGGCTTGCGTCAATAGGAGAGCAAGAGCCCCAGAAAGACTAAAAGAGACAGGAGCTTCTAGAGTAGCAAATTCTCCAGGTGTGGCCCTTGGACCAGCAGCTTCAGCTCCACATGGGAACTTGTTAGAAATGCACATTCTCTGGCCCCACCCCAGACTTGCTGATTCTGAGATCCAATCTTTATTTCTTTATTTACTTTTTAAAAGATTATTTATTTATTTATTTATTTATTTATTTAGAGAGGGGAAGGCAGGAAGAAAGAGAGGGAGAGAAACATCAATCAGCTGCCTCTTGCACATGCCCATAATGGGGACCTAACCTGCAACCCAGGCATGTGTCCTGACTGGGAGTCGAACCAGCGACCTTCCACTTTGCAGGATGATGCCCAACCAAATGAGCCACGACTAGTCAGGGCCCAGTCTTTATTTTTAAAGCCTTCCAGGCTCTGGTTGATGTGGCCCAGGGGATCGAGTGCCCGCCCGTGAACCAAAAGGTCACTGGTTTGATTCCCAGTCTGGGGCGCATGCCTGGGTTGCGGGGCCAGGTCCCCAGTAGGGGGTGCATGAGAGGCAACCACACAGTGATGTTGCTCTCCCTCTCTTTCTCCTTCCCTTCCCCTCTCTAAAATAAATAATTAATATATATTTTTAGGCAAGCCTTCCAGGTGATTCTGGCTCAAGTTTAGGAATGAGCTGGCCAAGGCATGTGTGGGATGTTGTCCAAGCTTCTGTTTCCCCTTTGCCTCTTTTCGCTGCACCCCTGAACCCCCCCTCCCCCCGCCCACACACTCATCCTGAAGCTTTCCCTGCTGCCTGGGGCCTTGAAGACCCTGTGCCCGCCTAGCCAACAGAACCACTCCCTTTATTCCCCTCTCTCCACCCCCTTGCCTGTTTCCAGCCTTTCTTGGGTTCTCTGGCTTTTCTAAACTGGTATTAAGAAAAAACAAAACAAAACTCAAAAACCTTTGGAGGTACCTGGTTTTCTTGGCAGGCCTGCAGCTCCATAGCCGCCTTTCGAATCTCCTCGAATGGCCAGAAGGGAAAAGCAAGAACGCACAAAACATTTCCCGCGTGTAACTGGGCTTTCAGGAGGTAGACACCAGGCCTTTTATTTGCAATCCACGTTTTACGGCCACACTTTCCCATTGTTAAACTCACTCGCTGGTTCCAGAGCTCTGAAGGTCACTCAGAAGAAAGATGGTGTAGGTTTTAATTGCTCTTCAAATGGCTCTTTCTCTTCCTTCCCCTAAAGGGCTGGGAGCAGGCCAGGAATTGACATTTTTTTCCGTTTCCCTTTCGGGCTTTGAAATAGACGCAGCTCACTGGCAGCCGCATACCCAGGCCCAGCCAGCTGCCCCCTGGGCTTTGCGCAGAACTGACTCAGGGCCTCCCCGGGAGGGCACGGGCCCAGCGGGCCTCTGTCTGGGTCCCCCTGGTGTCAGCAGGACCTCAGCTGGACGTGTCCCCATGTCTGGGTTCCTTCGTGCAGTGAACAGCCTGGACAATTGTGTGTGACACTTGGTCTGTATGTTCCAAGCCTGTTACATGCCCAATGCAGAGACAGGAGTCTGTCTCATACACTTACATCCTGCAGTAGTGTCTTGGGACCTCCTTAAGTACAACAGCCATGGTGGCTTAAAATAATAGAAGTGTATTCCCTCTCAGGTCTGCAGGCAGAAGTCCCCAGTCAAGGTGTGGGCGGGGCGCACAGGGCCAAGGGAGCTGGGGGAGAATCCCGTCTGCCTTTTTCCAGCTTCGGGTGGCTCCAGCGGTCCTTGGCTTGTGGCTGCCTCCTTCTGATCCCTGCCTCCGTCTGCACAGGCTTTGTCCCCTGTGTCTTCTCGTCTGTTGAAAGGTCACTGAATGTGGGGGCTCACCCAGAGAATTTAGGGTGATCTCATTTTGAGATCCTTAGCTTAATGATATCTGCTAAGATTTTTTTTCCTCCCCCAAATAAGGACGGCCACATTCAGATTCTGGGTCGTGGACATATGTTTTTGGGAGGTCACCATTCGATAAGCCAGATGCCTGAGAAATAAATACATCGTCAGAGCGTAGCTGCAGGCACAATGGACGTGGTACATTGAGTCCAGCCCACGCTATCTCATCAGATTTGCCCGTGTGACCGAGCTGTGCCGGAAATGAACTGACTTCTCTGTGGCATTTCGGGGCAGTGTAAGGAGAGAGGGCCCGAGTGGGTTATCGGAGGATGGGGGGCACCTGTCCGGGCGCCGCAGAAGTCACTGGTTGGGGTTTGGTGGCGGAGCTAGCCCGGCTGGCTGCATTGTGTGGTTCCCATGAACTTGGGAGTCTGTGGGCTGAGGTTCAAATCCTGGCTCTGCCAGTTTGCTAACTGGTGACCTTGGGCAACTTACTGAACCCTTTTCTCTGCCTCAGTTTCCTCCTCTGTGAAATGGGTGTGATAGGAATGGCACCAGCCATACAGGGCTGTCGTGAGAATGAAATGAAATAGGAAGAAGCGCTTAGAACAGCACCTGGCACAGGTGCGCTCCGCAAACCTTGGCTGTGATGATGAAGATGGCGAAGCAGGAAGTGGTGGTGGCCGAGGGCGTTGGGCACAGGCCTGGACCATGTCAAACTCCTGGCCTTCGAGACTCCAGCCATCTGGGGGTGCTCCCAAGCAGGGGTTGGCCCTGTGCTTGGGCAGGTCAGCCAGTGGCCAGTGAGAAAGTGGGTTGGCACGGAGGAGCAAAGGCCACAGGGCCCCTGGCGGGCTTTGCACGGTCTTTCATGCGAAGTGTGGTTGATGTTCTTGCTGGCGGGCTTGAGCTCCAGGAAGGTATGGCCATGTTTGCCCACCGGAGTCTTGGCACCCAGTATGGGGCAGGTATATAGGAGGTGCTGGGTGACCCCTTCAAATCTGTGGGTGAATGGATGCATGCAGCGGAAGCAATATTTAAAGTTTGTGTGAATTTTATTGTTATTTATTTTTGTAAAGATTTTATTATTTTTTTGGACATGGGGGAGGGAGAGAGAAAGAGAGGGAGAGAAACATCAATGTGTGGTTGCCTCTCACACACCCCCTACCAGGGACCTGGCCCCCAACCCAGGCATGTGCCCTGACTGGGAATCGAACCCATGAAGGAATCGAACAATCCTTTGGCTTGTAAGTAGGTGCTCAGTGTACTAAGCCACACCAGCTGGGGCTAAAATTTGCGTGAATTTTAAATGTTGCCTCCACTGCAAGCTAGTGCCACTCAGCACAGCCTCTGAATGGGGGCGGGGAGGGTGGAGGAGCAGTAGGTACAGCCCTCTAGAAACCAAGGGCCAACCTTGACCTCACACCCCAGCTTCACCCAGTCTTACCCATCCTTCCTCCCTAATCTCTCCACCCCCCTGCCCCGTGTCCTCCTTTCCAGAACCACTATTTCTGCCCAGACCTGGGCCTCACCCTTCCTCTCCTCCCGTCCACCCTCCCGAACTGTGCCACTCCTTGCTTCACCCTGCCGCACCCGCTGTTCAAATACTCAAGCACTGCCCTACCGAGGGCTAAATAAATGTTGCTTTAAGCTGCCAGCACCCTGCCTGACTGCTCAGGACCGTGTAAGACCCCTCATGACCCAGCCACTGCAGGGAGCCACATGGCAGTGGCACAGCGTGTCTCTTTCTGCGTCTCGCCAGGCCCTTGGTCTGCGGAGGGCTGTGTCAGCTGCTGCTACATCGCAGCCCCCAATGAGGAGGCCATTCCGGTGGCTGTTGCTGTGTAACATGTTACCCCAAGTATAGTCATTGTATTGTGCTCACGGGTTTAATGGGTCAAGAATTTCAATTTCACATGGTCCTGGCTGGTGTGGCTCAGTGGATTGAGTGCTGGCCTGGGAACCAAAGGGTCGCCAGTTCGATTCCTAGTCAGGGCACATGCCTGGGTTTTGGGCTGGGTCCCCAGCAGGAGGTGCATGAGAGGCAACCACACATTGATGTTTCTCTCCCTCTTTTTCTCTTTCCCTTCCCCTCTGTCTAAAAATAAATACAAAAAATCTTAAAAAAAAATTTCACATGGAATTTGACCCAGTGGGTCTCTGCTCCTGACGTCTGGGGCCTGGGCTGGGGAAGACTCAGAGGCTGGGGGCAGAAGGCTTATCCGTGCGCGTGCTCAGCACCGGGCTGGGTGGACTTAGGACATGAACGTCATCCACCGTGCCTGCTGGTGGCCTGTTCAGGTCCCAGCTTTGACGTCCCCCTTGTGTGGTGGCCTCAGAGTAGTCAGACGGCTTTCTGATGGCTTTCAGGTTCAGTGTCACAGCGGACAAGGTGAGACTGAATTGCCTTTGGTGATCTAGCCTCAGAAGCCACATAGTGGCAGTTCTGCCGCACAGCCCGGCTGAAGTAGTCACACACTTCCCTCCATGCAAGGGGCGTGGTGAGATCGCACTGGGGACGTTCTGGGGGATGGAGACATTGTTGCAGACACCTTTGGAATGGCCCCAGTGGTTGAAAATGAAACCGTGATCCCGATGGTTGGAATTTGGACTGGACGTGGCTGGGTGCTTCTCATCCTACCTGGGTATCTGTAATCAGCTGTAGGTCAGCGAGGCAGCTCTGCCTCTGGTGCTTGGCTGGCTGTGAGCCGTGATGATAGAGGTGATGGGCACGTGTCTCCTAGCCTCCTTCATACGGCAGTGGGCAGAGAGAGAGTGTGTGCCAGGTGTCTTTGGGCGCAGCCTCAGCAATGCACATGGTCACTGCTGCCGCATTGCTGGCCAAGGCGAGTCAAAAGGCCAGCCCAAGTTCAACGGTTGGGTAACAGACCCCATCTCTGGACCAGAGGAGCTGCAGAGCGTGGCACCAGGGAGCATAAGAGTTTCTGGCCACTTTGGCAATCCCCACGGTAGTCTTTCTGCAGATCCCTTCCCAGCCGCCCTCTCCCATTTGTCCTGGCCTCTCTTCCCGGTGGCTTCACAGAGGCTAGTCTCTCACCCGTGGAAAGCCACCAGAGTCCTTGTGATGAGTTGCAAAGTCATTAGAAGTGCAAGCTCATTTGTGTCAGGTTGTGGCTGACTACAAATAAAGGACAACCTAATAGGGGCTTAAACTGTCAGGATTAGGAAGTCTGGAGGCAGGCAACCCGTGAGGAGTTGTTAAGAACCCAGGCTTTTTTTCTCCTCTCAACAGTCGTCTTTTGCAGAGGACCCTATCAGCTTCAAGTTTGTTGTCTCATGGGCACAAAATAGCTGCTGCAGCCCCAGTTGTCTCAACTGTAGTCTAAGCTGGGAGCGTGGAGTAGAAGACTTTTTCTCTCCAGAGAAGTTGTGTCTTTACATTCAGAGAAACTTTGCCAAAGTCTGCCACAGTCTTCCCCCAAAGTCTCATTGAGCTGCACCCGACTCTATACACTTTGGCTGTTACTCTGCAGAAAACTATGGCTACTGTAGCTGCAAGGAAGCCTGGGAAAGTGAATGACTGGTAAGGGGGATAGGCAAGCTGTTTCGGCCACGGTAGGAAATACGCACTCATACAGACACACACAATGGAAACCGGTGTCACAAACAGATACTTAATGCTTAATGTATGTGGTACCTTTTAATATTTTCTGTCCTATCCCATTCTGTTTAATACTCTCTACCATTTCATTAAAAAAAATCCTGGTCACAACCTGCTCACTGGATTTCACAACCCTCAAAGACATGTCCCATTGTTTGAGAAAGACTGACTCAGAACAGCCTTGGTTCACGTCTTGGAATTGGCAAGTGTTTTCCTGAGCTCACCGGGCTTCTGGGAGGAGGAGGAGGAGGAGGGCTGGGGAACTGGGATTGGGTAAAGCAGCAGCCCAACTTTGCCACTTACCTTCTTGCCCTGCCAGTCCCATCAGGCAGCGATAGAGTCCGTCAACTTTCATTTGTATGACTTGCAAGTAACCTGAGGGTTACTGAAGTTCGTCCCGGGAAATTAACATTCGCCTGCGTCTGGTGTGAACCGGGGCCTTTGAATTCCTACCCTGCTAAGCTGTCTGGCTTCTGCACAGCTCCCGATGACAACGCAAAACTCCGATCGCATTACAAGTGCCGGAGGAATTCACACGAGTTTCTGGAAGGACACTTTGTCATTGATGCGTCACAGCTGTTCTCTTGAACGGCTTATGGTTTCCAGGCCTGACTTTCCCTGCTTTTTATAGCAAATGGTGAGGAATGAGGTTCTTCCGGGTCACGGGGTGTGAGTTCGAATTCTGCCCCATGGTGGGGTTTGAGGCAAGCGTCCTGACCCCTCTGTTTCCTGAGCTGTGAAACGTGAGTCAGCGTCCTTCCGGCCTCCTCGGGGCCCCGGAGGGATCAGTGGGTGTGGAGTTAATGCAAGGCCCGAGACTGAGGAAGTACGGGGGCCAAGCGGGCTTCGCAAGGTGCATCAAATCAGCTTTGGCTGAGCCACATGCAGTAACAAGCGAGCCTCAGATCTCAGGGGCGTTACAGCAGTAAAAGCTTGTTCCCACTTGCGCATGCGCCCTTGGGAGGTTGGTGGCGGCGGCTCTGCCATGTGTCTGTTCCCTTCTGGGATGCGGGACAGGAGCCAATGCCATGGCCCTTAAAGCCTCTGCTCTCCTGTGAACAATTTTGGGTTGGCAACTTTGCACTCTAATTCTGTCCCCTGTGAATCTCTTTTCTGGAAGCTTTTTGAGTATGTGCGTTTCGAGGTGAGGGGTGTCAAATGCCAGCCCTGGTTGAGAACCCTGGGAATGCTCCCCAAGGCCAGGGGCCGTGTCATTACGGCATCCTCAGCTCTATGTGCTGGACACATAGTGGGCGCTTCATACTTGCCTTTTCCACCAGGCTGCTCCTTGAATGAATTAGTGGATTTGTTTTACTTCTGCAGATTCGTTTAATAAATATTTATTGTGCCTCCTACTGTGTGCCATGCCCTGTGCAGACACAGGGGGCGCATCAGGCAAAGAACAAACAGCCAAACACACAGACATGCGATACTTGATATTAAAGTACTTTTGTATTTAAAAGCTTTTCAATATGAGAAAAAAAATTGTTTAAAGATTTAATTTATTTATTTTTAGAGAGGGGAAGGGAAGAAGAGAGGGAAACATCAATGTGTGGTTGCCTCTCATGCACCCTCTTCTAGGGATCTGGCCCTGCAACCATGGCATGTGCCCTGACTGGGAATTGAACCTGCGACCCTTTGGTTTGCAAGCTGGAGCTCAATCCACTGAGCCACACCAGCCAGGGCCTTCCCCTCCCCTCCCCTCCCCCCCCCCCCCCCCCCCTCCCCTCCCCTCCCCTCCCCCCCCCTCCCTCCCCTCCCCCTCCCCTCCCCCTCCCCCCCCCTCCCTCCCTCCCTCCCCCTCCCTTCCCTCCCTCCCTTCCTTCCTTTTTAGAGAGAGGGTAAGGGAGGAAGAGAGGGAGAGAAACATCAATTGGCTGCCTTTTGCCCTCACCAGGGACTGAACCTGCAACCCAGGCATGTGCCCTGACTTGGAATTGAACTGGAGACCTTTTTCTTTGTGGGAGGAGCCCGACCAACTGAGCCATGCTGGGCCAGGCTTTTCCACCATTCCTCCTGACCCGCGCTGTGTAGGGAGCTTTCTGCCCTGATGGGTGTGTTCTTCATCTGCACCCTCCCGTGCTGCAGCCACACGTGGCTATTACTGAGCCCCTGATAGGTCACTCAGGTGACGGAACTCAGTGTTTAATTTCATTGAATTTTCCATATAAATATCTGTGTTTAAAACACTTATGTTCCTAATTGTCTTTTTTCTCCATTTTAAAATTGTGGCGTAACAGTCATAACATAAAATGTACTGCGTCAGGCAGTTTTCCGCGTGCCGTTCAATGGCACTGAGGACAGTCGTCGTGGTTGTGCAACCGTCACCGCCATCCAGCCGCAGCACCCTTTGCATCTTGCAGAACCGAAACCACACCCGTGAAGGTGCCTCCCCAGCCCCGTTCCGGGCCAGGCCCCTGACAGGCTCCATTCTACTTCCTCTCCCTGTGCGTGGACCTCAGAAACAGAATTGCATAGCATTTGTCTCTGTAACTGGCTCGTCTCGCTTAGCAGCGTCCTCCAGGGTCCCCTGTGTTGAGCCTGTGTCAGGATCTCCTGCCTGAATGGCACTCTGTCCTCTGCGCACGCACGCGTGGTTCTCCAGCTGCCTGCGGACAAGCGCTTGGGCTGTCTCTGCACCTTGTATGTTGTGAAGAAGCCGCTGTGAATACAGCGCATGCGCGTCTTTTCCAGACCCTGCTTCCAGCCCTTTGGGATGGGCACCCCAAAGTGGAATCGCTGGATCATGTGCTGGTTCTATTTTTAAATTTTTGAAGACGCACCAGGCTGTTCTGCACTGCAGCTGCACCATTTCGCATTCCCACTGATGGTGCACAAGGGCTCTGATCTCTCCTGGTGCTCGTCGACACTTGTGATTTTCTGTTCATGGATTGTGGCCATCCGAATGGGTGTGAGGTGGTGTCTGTGGTTTTTTTCTTTCTTTTAAAAAAAAAAAGATTTTATTTATTTTTATAGAGGGGGGAAGGGAGAGAGAAAGAAGGAGAGAAACGTCAATGTGTGGTTGACTCTCACACAGCCCCTACTGAGTGGGGACCCGGCCTGCAGCCCAAGCATGTGCCCTGACTGGGAATCAAACCGGCAACCCTTTGGTATACAGAACAGAGCTCCAACCAGTGGAGCCACTCGGCTAGGGCTACACCTAGAATCATAATCCCAATTCCTCAGCATCATCAAATATTTAGGCACCTCAAATTCTCTTTTTCAACAGTTGACTTTATTTGTGTGCTTAGAGGCTCCCTCTGCCTGCTGGTTGAGAACTATGGGATACCTGCTGAGCCCCGTGCACGTGGATGGCGGGCACATTTCTTCCCTGTGCATGGCCCCTTCTTTCCCCATAACTGCCCCGTTTAGCCTTAATGATCCCATCTGAGAAACGGGGGTAATGGTGGGGTTGGATGGATTTGAGACTCGGTGCCCAGCGGTTTCCATTGGACCATGTGCCTCACCCATGGCTGAAGTGTGTGACATATAAACCCTCCAGGTAGCAAACCTGGGACCTGGGACCTTTGTCCCCCAGACCGGCTGTTGCCAGAAAGCTGTGGGCGTGGCCAGAGTGCATCATATTCATGGTGGCAGTTAAAAACGATTTCAGGCATACCTCTTTATATTGCACTTCACAGATACTACAGCTTTGTTACAAATTGAAGGTGAGACCTCCATGAGGAAAAAGATTATGCCTCACGTGCTTTATTGTGACACTTCATTGCCGTGTTCTGGAGCCACACTGGCAGTATCTCTGAGGTGTGCCTGTGTAACTAGTGTTTGTCACTTAACTAAATGCGTGAGGTTTAACAGTGTTCACATAAAACAGTCTCACGGGGGAATGTGATGTTGTCTGCATTTTCCAGAGGGGTACGAAGGCACAGGCGGGCATGCAGTCTGAGTGGCCAGGCCAGGATGGGAACCCAGGCCTCCTCTCACCCACACAACACCCGACCTGCCTTTCTGGCAAAGCTCAGGGAGAGCACGGGCCAGCCGTGCACACACAGCAGCTTTGTTAGCAGCCAGCCGCTCTGAGTCCGGGCCGTGTGTTAAAAACGCAGCAGCTCTGGCCCCTCCTCCTGCTTTCTGACTGCCTGTTTCCAGGGTGGGGCCTGAAGTCAGTGGGGGACTGCGTGCAGAGGAGACTGGGGGGCAAAGGGCAGAAGCTGGAGGCCTCTGCACCTCTGACCTGTTCTGGTTTAGTGGCACTCAAATACTAGTACCCAGACCAATAGCATCCAAACCAGTGCTTGTGCTGAGAGCCCCGCACTCTGCCACCATGGGAGAGGTGGGGCCTAGGGTCCTGCCATTTTACAGATGGGGGCACTGAGGCCCAGAGAGGCGCAGCCAGTGTCCCTAGGTCACCCAGCCTGTGCATGGGGGAGCAGGGACTTGAACACCCCCCGACTCCAATCCCAGAACTGGCACCCTACAATGGACCTCTTGGCATCCACCCAGTGGGAAACAGATGCCACCCTGGGCACCCAAATCTCCCTACCGGATGTGGCCGGGGTAGGGAGTGGGGAATCGACTAGAAACCCTGGGAGCTGTGCGGGCCTCCACACCCGGGCAGTGCACCTGGAATGTAGGTGGGACCTGGCGTCTGGTGACAGCTGCTTTCCAGATCTTTCTGGGGGAGGAGCAGGGGAAGCCAGCCCACTCCCTTGTTCCTCCCTTTATCACTTTTTTATCACCGGGAATCTGACTGCCCCAGGCATTCCTGAAATGAAAACAAAAGCCCTCGGGAGCAAGTCACCCACCTCCGGCTTATCTCCACGTTTTTGCCTTATTTGCTTCAGGTCTTAAAAGAGAAACAGTGCAATGAGCATCTTCTGTGTGACAGCAATTGAGGGCAGGGGAGGGACTCTGGAGCGAGCCTGCCTTGGGTCAAGCCCCAGCCTGGCCACTGCCCGCTGGGGGTTCTTGGGCACCTCACGAACTGTTCTGAGTCTGGGTTCTCCCATCTGCAGAATGGGGCTCATGAAAGCCCGCAACTCATACGGAGTTAGAGACGGTGGAAAGGGTTGGTGTGTGCAGAGCTCCAGAAACCAGGGGCAGCACCCAGCGGCCCGGCGATCGCGGGGCAGCGGAGGCCTCATTTCGGCGGCGCTGCGGCGCCACGACGGCCGGGCCTCGTTGTTCACTGAGTGCTTCTGTGCTCCTGCCCGCTCGCTCACGTTTGTAAATCCCGGCTCTCAACCTTCGGGCTGTCTTCCCGGGCACTGGCAGGCGTGTGCAGAGCCGTGGAGAACACAGGCATGTGCAGGGCTGAAGCCCAGCGTCCCTAACATCCGGAAGGCAGGGACACGCCCTCCTGTGTCAGAAAAGCTGCGTTCGGGCTGGAGTTAGAGGCCTGCCTGTCCGCTGCGTTCAATGTTGATGCCTCAACAACTTCTGGTGAAGAAGGTGTCCTAAAACAGGAGCACAGAGAAACCACGGACAGGCGGGTGACAAGGGGACAAGACACTTGTGGGGACCTAGTCCCGTGTATGTCCCCCAGGAGAGGTGGTTCGGTTTTCGCCCCTTCAGCACTCACGGCAAGTTGGTAGAACCTGAGTGCGACGGATGACAG